TCCCGTTTCCATGGGAGATGGCCGATTTCCGCCGCCGAGCGAGCTGGCACCGGCCGCATTTTGGGGAGGGCACCTCCCCCGATCCATGGACTTGGCGACCGCGCACCAAATCCATGGATCGCTCGTCCCTGTTTGCGCGCCCCCAAAGGACGGAGGCGGGGCTCAAGGGACTGGGGTCGACGCAAAAGGGGTTCGGTCAGAGCGCCAGATCTTGCAGGATCCTGCAGGGCCAGGGGCGCACTGACCTGGGCTTGGGCGCCGGATCCTGCAGGATCTTGCAGGAATCTTCGCATTGACCGGGTTTGGGTGCAGGACCTTACACGATTTTGCAGGGTTCTGCAGGGCCTGACTGACCCGGGTCTCGAATGACCCGGGTCAGAAGATCCCCGAACGGAGGCGGGGCGGGTCCAGGTTTAGATCGGGCATGTGGAGGGTTTCTCCGAAGGGCTTAGGCAGGCGACCCGTCCTCCTCCTCCTCCTCCTCCTCCTCCTCCTCCTCCTCCTCCTCCTCCTCATCCTCCTTCTCCTCCTCCTCCTCCTCTTCGGGTCGCCTACGGCCCTGGGGGAAACCGCGCACGGGCATGTCCCCCTACAGGGGGATTTGAGATGAAAAATGCTACATTTCCAAAATTTGTCAGACATAGTCAAAAAATCGTCCCCAAACTATTTGTTTGACTGTTTTTGGAGATTCTTCCTGTAGAGGGACAGGCCCGACTTCAGTCCAGGTTGAAGTTCGAACAGGAGGTTCAGAAATTCTGGAGCAGGGAATCGACTGCAGATTGGATGTCGGAACTGCGAAACCTTCATGGAGTAATCCGTAGACTCACGGAGCATTCTGCGCAAGTTTCGTAGATCCGACGAACATGTCAAGTCTGGGGTCAATCAATTCTGCAGTCGATTCCCGACTCGAAGAATAGGATTTCGTCTTTTTAGGCCTCTTGGATGAGGTCCTAGCTGATTGGGTCGGAGGATCGCGCCGCGTCACCGATGGATCGCCGGTGCGGCTCAATGTGGAGCCCGATTTTCTCCGTGCTGGCGTCGCCGATGCACCGCCGACGTCGCCGATGCATCGGCGGTGCATCGGCGATGCGTCGCGATCCTCCGACCCCATCCCTTCGGACCCCATCTGGGAGGCCTCTAATCCTGCGGCGAGGCTGGATAAGGCACGCCAGTGAGCCCTGGGATCTGGCGAGGGAAGGCCAGGTACGGGAATCCCAAAGAGGCAGTTCTGACTTGATTGTTGTTGCAGTGCGCCCTCCTGCTAGGCAAGGGGGGGCACTCGCCGTCATGGCTGAGCTCGGTTCGGACACCGTCAACATAGTGCCCATGATGAGTTAGTTTTTGAGCTGCTCTCGGCTGAGGACCGAACGCGTATGTGTTTTGCCCATGGTCAGAGGCACGCGTGGGAAGCATCCAGAAAGGTGAAGGGCATGTTGCCGCTATTTCGAGAAGAGCGCGGTTTCGGAGCAGGTGTTCCCAGTTTTTTTCAGCGAAATGAACCAATGACCCTCTGTGCGACGAAAGCTTTGCAGAGGCACGATGCGTCTGTCACGGGATACGTCTTGGAGGTGGTTAATGTGTGGAAAAGGCCGTAACAAGTTGTGCGCCCCATGTGATCCAGACATAGTTCAAAAGTGTTCCCAGTTCAGTCGAGCATCTGTTTTAACGAGACGTCCTCACAAAAAGTTGGGTTAGCGTATCTTGGCCAACTTGCCGGACGGGAAGGTCGGCCCAGTTTCTTGAGCACTTGAGCACGGTCGCCCCTCCAGCGTTAACGGCAGAATTTGGCCCAGGTGTGTTTCAAGACTTTTCCGGGAAGTTGGCCCAGATGTCTTGTGAGTTTCTTTTGTCATGTTTTCGGTTGTAATATCAGGCGTGCGGCGTAGGTCGTATTTCCTTTCCGCGGACAGTGGGCTCACAGTACTATCGCAAGCAGCTGCGTGCGACTAGAAGGACCTGTAGTGTTCGGCGTTGACTTCGCAGAATTCGCACACGAACCCATTGAATATTAGTTGGTCTTGATTGCAATCCGGCCCAACCTTCACGAACCATACGATTGCGATGGGATGGGTTGACGAATAGAGAGGTATAGCACTTAGCAGGCCGATGACGATAGGCAAGGGGGACATCAGGGAGACGAAGGGAGAGACGTCAAGAAAGGCCATGGCAGACCGATTGCGACAAGTGCTCGTTCCTCCTCCCTCCCCTCCTTCTTACCTCCCTCCCTCTCGTCCTCCCGCCTCCCCCCTCTATGCAGGGAGAGCGACCATGAGGTGCACCCATGCCGACTCCTTCCCATGCGGCTGTCGACCCGCTGCCGTTTCTCTTTCAAATGCAGTCAGCCTCCCGCCGGCTGCGAGACCTCTCCGAGGATCCCTCTCTTGCAGCGCGCATGCAGGGGTGTCGCCTGTGCCACCATGAGTCAGAGACACAGGTTCTTTCGAGCGAGAAGCTGTCAACGCCGCAGTGTGTGAACTCAACTTGTCGGAGGTTGGCGCATGAGAACGAAGTGAGCTCAACCAGAAAATCAGGGTCTGTTTCGAATCGTGGCGCACGTGCTGGCGAGGCGAAGCTGGTCGTGGGCGGTGATTTGTCGGCCGCAGCTTGGCCAAGTCGGACAAGAAAATTATGTCCCTGACTCGCGGGGGCCCGGGAGGTTGTCCCGCTGTTGCCTCGTGGTCGTGCCCTGGGTTGTCCCGTGGTTGTCCGGTGGGTCATCCAGTGGTTAAGTTCGCGGATGTCCCGCGGGATATATATTGAGTTCGATACATGTGCAAATTGTGCTGCGTATCCTCTTTGCACAGATATCACCGCACAGGCAGACAATATATATATATATACACAGATTTACACGTGTATATATATATATATATATATATGTATACGTGTATGCGAATTCTGGTACTGGGGGGGGCATATATTGCCGATCGGAAGTATGTAGGTGTCGATCAAACGCGATAGATCGTAGTTAGTTGTGCTTGTGGCTTTCTCGTGGGTGTCCCCGCGGATGCCCCGTGGTTGTCCTGTGGGATGTTCCGTGCTTGTTTGCGCGCAAGTTCAAGTACAAGTCCAACCTCATCTTGAACGATGTAATTCGATAACTTCGCACATGTGTACATATATATATTGACTCAATACGTCGTACGCGTGTGTAGATGCATTCGTAGTTGATTTGCTTGTGATGTTCTGCATTCAGTAGTGAGTGTGTGCCTATATCGAGCAGATCGGTAGGCTATACGGTTTCTGGATATAAGCGGAACTAACTCAGTACTGCTATAGTAGAGAGTTGTATGTAAGGACTTAGATCGATAGACAGACGGTTAGTTCGATAACAAGGACGGCAGATAGGCCACCCGACCCGGAGCCATCGTACACCAAAAATTGCACCCACCCCCAGTGGTGAAGTGCGGCCACGTGTTACGCACATCATGGCTAGTCACCAGGGTAATGTTTCGTGTGCTTCATGTTCGTGTTTCCCGACTGGTCTGAATTGGCGCACCGTGCGGGATCTCAGGGGCCGTGGTCACAAGGCCGTCACTTGAGTGTTTGTGTTTATTGGTGGGAGTCTGGCACGCTCAGCGTTTCTCTTTGCAGTGTTTACATGCCCCCGACTTCTGGCATAATATCCGTATTTGAGCGTGCGTGCACTTAATATTGCAGTCGGGCAAGGTACCCAGCACATCATTGATCATCTCCATCCTCTTCATTCGTTCTCTCCTGTTTCTGCTCCTCATGTTTGCCCTCCTGCTGCGTTTCCTCTCCTATCCTCCTCGCCCCACTTACCATCTCAGCACAATCCGTCTCTTTCTCACAACCTCCTTCTCCGCCTGCCCTTTCTCATCAAGTAGTCGATCTTCATTTTGAGCCTGAGTCCCGCTTTATTGCTTCATCGTCAAAAATGGATTAACAATCTCCAGGGCGGCTTGGACAGTGTCCTCGTTCTTCGTTTGGTTCCAAATTTCGCTTTCGGTAAGCAGCTCCTCGTCCGTGGCGTCGGCAGCCTTCTTCGGCTAAACGCTCTCGCCTTTGTATTGAATTCACGGCTGGAAGAAGTATTCCAGCTTCCTGTTATTCCTGTCTTGGGCGTGATCGGAGTAGCTATTGACCGTTGGTTTTCGTCAGCTACCCCCTCATATCATGCGCTTGTGGTGGATCCATCGCCCGGCCGCCCACATTGAAGCGCGCTTGCCCAGCCCAATCAAATGTTGGTTGGCTGGATATGTCGCGATGGGACTTGCGCCTAGCCCAAGGTGCCTCCATGACCCCGAAAACCCATCCTCGGCTTCCAATTGGCATCCATGGTGCGCCTATATTCCCCACCTCGAGCGAGTGTCCTTGGGCTAGCGGACATGGCGCGTGCCAGTACAGCGCATTTGGTCCAGCTATCCGAAGGCACATCGAAAGCTCCCCTCCTCAGGGAAGGGCAGCAGTGGGATTGAACACGATGGAATTCATGTTCCTTTGAGATGTCTGTTGTTTGCGCGGTGGTGTGCCAAGGTGGATGGTAGCCAAACTCAATTGTCCAGGGTGCAACTAGTGTGTGGCCTGTTGTTTCGACATGTCTCAGTCGTCCAACTGGGAGAAGGGAGTACAGCTCTGAACTTCGATCACGAGGCAGCCAGTTGATTGTTTCTTGAATTTCTCAAGGGTGGCGGTCCTGGAATGAACGGACACCGAGAACACAACGGGTGACTACACGTGTCTCTCGTTTGAGTTCTTGGTGATGGTCGAAGTTGGGTTCTTGTAGTTCCATATCTTGGGCATCCGCCCTTGTTGAGACGTCCAGTTGGGTGGGGTTGACGTTGTCATTGCCGTGCCGTGGGCAGGCGCCAGGTTGCGCTTTCAATTGGGGCTCCCGATCCTCTTGACGCGCTGTTTTCCAGGGAGAGGGGCGTGCACAGGCGGCCAGGCTTTTAGCATATCATCGTAAGGTCGACCCATGGGCGCCATGCATTTTGCAAAGTGTTGGTTGACTTCCCCCGCATTTGTGCATACCCCAGGACAGTGCGGGAAAGTAGACGAACGAAGTCCACCGCCACTATGGTACCTCTCGCGCATGCCGCGACTTGCCTCGCGCTGTTGTTCCTGCAGTTCGACCAGGCCGTGGCGGAGGAAGAGAATCCGATCTCCAAGGTCACGGGTCAGCATCGGCTTCATTGAAGCGCGTGCGCCAAAGGGAAAGGGGGAACGCGCGTCAGTGATCGGAAGGTGTTCCCAGCTACAGCCTTGTCTTTTTGAGGCCGTTTGGATCCATTTGGGGTGCACGTGGCGGAGCGTGTCCTGGAGCCGCGTTCTTTCCAACCGATCCCGCGCTGTCTCCACCGTCTTAGCGTCAAATCGCACCAATATCACCTCCCCGTGGTGGAGTTTTCCTCCCATGGCCTACAACCTCCCTCGACTTCAAACGCAAGGTTTTTGTCCGCGACGTGGTGGCGGCCCAGGACCCCCAATGCCAATGTGCGCGCCGAATCTGGCGGCTTGTTTTTTTCTTACACCGTGGGTCGCATTTCTCGCGTTGCTGAACATTGGCATTGAGAGGGGGAGGGCGGTGTTGGGGGGTAGAAATCATTTAATTTCAAGGGGGGTTGTAGTCTACAGAGGCGGTTCCGCGCAAATGTTTGGACACATGTCACACGTATCCAATCACATTGCCGCACATGTCCGCCAGCGCGCGCAAGTAGTGCAGCAAGGTTGGCCTGTGCAGATGAGTAGTAGTAGTGGCAGGAGTGGCGGTTTATTGCAGGCAGGGCGCTTGAGAATTTGGTTTTGGATGCATGCGTCAAGGGTTTGATGGATGCCCCTGCACCTGGTGACGTGGTGTAGGACGAAGCATCGAGAAATGTCTCGTGGTGTCGTTGAGCACCGTGGGGTTTTACGACTGGATTTGGAATACGGTGCAGCTGCGCGCGCAGCGCTCATGTCGTGCAGGATTTCCTTCTTGAGAGCATGTGCCCCACGGTAGCCAAACATTTGCTTCCAATGTGGTGGACGTGCGACGGGCATTCCGAGGGCCTCTACTGTGGCTCTGGGTAGGCCCCTGGCGCCTCTCTGGGGCTCCTCGGGGACCTCCTCACGCCTCTCGAGGGCGAATGCGCTTGGTGGGGTTTTTGAGCTGTCTCAGTGGTTCTCCGAGGGCTGCTTGCGGGTGTCTCGGTATCAGAGTCGACCGTATTAGGTTACCCCTGACCAGTCTTGCGCAAGTTGAGGCCGCTTTTGGCCTGAATTGGGCTGCCTCGTGGCCGTCTTGGGGGCTTTCTCGTGGATAGGCCATTCTGGGCGACACGGGAAACGTCTTGACGTGTGGAAGTTGTCTTGGCCGAGTCCGGGTAGCACGGTAAGCAGTTTGGCAACACACGCGCGCAAGTTGTTTTAATGCTCCTGGTGTTCGGTAGATCTGAGATGGGGCCACTGGCCTCTTCAGAGCCTTTTGGTACTCTCTTGGGGTCCTGGTGAGGTGTAGAATGGTGCCTAGGAAGGTGTCAAGGTCAGTATCACAGGGGTTCTTCGTGCTGGCTCAGGTAGGGCCTCGTCTAAACAGAGTCAGGTTGATTTTTGGCTGTCTTCGTGACGCCCTGGGGCGGTCATGCGCTGTTCTGGGACCGTCTGCGGGATCCGCCAGGATGCGAGGCTGCCCTAGAGGCGGCCCACGAGCCTCATCGGTGCATCCTGGAAAACACGCAGGGCCAAGACAGATGTCGAGGCACAAATAGTCAAACCCTTCGGATTCCTCCCCTCTCCTCTCCACAAAAAGTCTAAGGGCCCTCAGGCTCTCGTGGAGCCGTCTTCGGCTGCTTCCGAGACGTCTTCGTTTAGCCTTGGGCCGTCTTGGAGACCTCTTGTTACAGGCTCGGGCTTTCTTGGGGCTGTCCTGGATCGTTTTGGGGAGCCACCAGGACTACGTGGAGGCGGACAGTAGCGGCCTGGATGTCGTCTGGACGCTCACTGTAAGTCATCCTGGGCTCGGAGTCTCCGGGGGCGTATTTGCGGCATCTCGGTGCTTTGGGGAGTCCTGAAGCCATGTAGCCGTCAGGAGAGGTGGGCCAACCGCGATCCATTGCGCTTGATTCGTCCTGGGCATGACTTTCCTTGGAATCGTGTTTGCGCACGTGATTTCTTTATAATGCTTATTTGGGAGGGCAAAGTACACCTGCTTCTAGAAGACCAATATCTGAGGCATATGCCAAATGCCGCTTTCACTTTCTAGCCAAGAGCGTCTATAGCCATATTGGGCGTCGTTACGTAGTTACGTATATAGACACATGTATAATGGATTTGTCTATAACGCGGCCGTTGCTTTCGGCACATAGCGAGGTCGGACAAATGGTAGATCCGTCTACGGTATGATTCTGTTTCAGAGGTCCCATGTGGTATTCCAATGTCTAAGGAGCCGGCGCTGGTCGTCGCAGTCGGTTGGTCCCAGTCGATGCTCCATTCTGGCTCGGAGCACAATGGTTGGTGACCTGTGTCTGCTCTTCTTGTCGCAGTCGGCCGTCCCTGGTCGGAGGTGTGTGTGTGTGTGTGTGTGTGTTAGGATGCATCTCCTGGGAGGTCAAGTTGCCAATGGCGCAAGTAGATCCCTGCTGGTCGAGAACTGGCCCAATCCAGTCGAATCCCGCTCAATCCAGCTTAATCGTTGAACGTGGCCTCATCTCGTTGAATCCTGGATTTTGTCCGGCCCAATCCAGCTCAATGGCCCCTCAATCGGGCCCCAGGAGTTGCCTCCTAATGTATGGTCGTTCGCGCTCCCATGGTTGGCGCCCGATGGCTGGTGCATTATGGTGTGTCCGTATGGCACGCCCCATAGGTTTTCACCCCACAGATTCTCTCTAAAAAGAGAATAGACTCTACCCCCCCCCCTCGGACTTATCGGCTCCCCCTGGGATAGTATGATTTCATGTGTGTGTATATATATATTTATATTCTGCACGCTCGTCCATCCTGAATGAGAAATCGTACCATCCCAGCCAAACCGGTTTCCCCCCTGAGGTTCCCTTGTAAAAACACTATGCGGTTACATTTGTTGTTCTAACAAAGCACTTTTTCACGAATCCCTTGCACAAAAACGAAACGAAGTGCACACGCGCGCGTCGTCGCGCGCGCATGCCGAAATGCTTCAAAAACCTTCGGTGCGGGACGGATTTCGCAATCGAGTTTCCACAAAACATACAAAAAAACATGGTTTCGCAACACAGAGTTGCTCAACAAGCTTCCGCGAAAGCTCTTGCGAAATCTTAAGAAAAAACCATAGGTTTTTCAAGATTTTACAAAATGCTACCAAACGGGCTTCGAGCGCGCTCATGTCGAAATCTGTCGAACGTCCTTGCGCGTGTGCCGTCGCGAGAATCCCCTGCCAAAAATGGGACGAAGTGCAGACGCGCGCGTCGTCGCGCGCGTATGCCGACAACCTTGAAAACTCCCGGGTTTCGGAAGGATTTCAAAATCGCATGTCCAAAAAAAAACCTTCAAAAACACAAGGTTTCGCAACACGGATTTTCAACAAAAGCGTGCGCGCGCGCTCTTGCGTCGTCGTTGTCGTCGTCGTCGTCGTCGCCGTCCTCCCTCCTCCAGCGTCGTTGTCGCCGTCGTCGTCGCCTACGTCGTCCTCTGTCTTTCCTCGTGTTCGTCGTCGTCGTCGTCCTCTTTGGCGTCGTGGTCGTTTCCGTCGTCGTTGTCGCCGTGGTCGTCCTTCCTCCTCCCTCGTCGTCGTCGTCGTCGTCCGTCGTCGGCGTCTCGTCGTCGTCCCTCCTATTTCGTCGCCATCGTCGTCGTCGTCGTTGTCGTCGTCGTCGTCGTCTTCCCTCCTCCCTCGTCGTTGCCGTCGTCGGCGTCGCCGTCCTTCCTCCTTCTTCGTCGTTCGCGTCGTCGCCGTCCTCCCTCCTCCCTCGTCGTTGTCGTCGTTGTCGCCGTCGTCGTCCTCCCTCCTTCCTCGTTGTCTTCGTTGGCGACGTCGTCGTCGTCTTCGTCGTCGTCGTCGGCGTCGTTGTCGTCTTCGTCTTCGTCGACGTCGGCGTCGTCGTCGTCGCCGCCGTCGTCGTCGTCGTCGTCGTCGTCGTCGCCGTCGTCGTCGTCGTCGTCGTCGGTGTCGTCGTTATCGTCGTCGTCGGCGTCGTCATCGTCGTCGTCGTTGTCATCGTCGTCGTCGGCGTCGGTGTCGTCGTCGTCGTCGTCGTCGTCGTCGGTGTCGTCGTCGTCGTCGTTGTCGGCGTCGTCGAAGTCGTTGGAGACGTCGTCGGTGTCGTCGTAGTCGTTGTCGGCGGCGTCGTCATCGTCGTTGTCGCTGTCGTCGTCGGCGTCGCTGTTGTTGCCAAGTGCCATGTGGTACCCACCGTCACGGTCTTAAGAGATTTTGCAAACCAAGTTGCGGGTGGGTGGGTGGGATGTTTGCGCGAGCAGTGGAGTGGACAATTCATTGCGAACCGAAATGAATTGCACCCCATAGGATTTACAAAGTCGATGCGTGGAGTCCACGCGCTGACTCATATCATTGAAGACGCCTACGGCGCATCACTGCCACCTCCTGCCTTCTGGAAGCGCCCGTGGGGTGAAGTGTCGAGCGAAGGTACGGCCAGTGGCCTGCGTGTTCCCCCAGCGCCGCGCCCGAGGAAACCGCCTGCGGGCACACTGGGGAGGGGCCCAGGAGGAGGATGAGGAGGAGAAGGAGGAGGAGGAGGGAGGAGGGAGGAGGGAGGCGGAGGCGGAGGCGGAGGAGGAGGAGGAGGAGGAGGTGCCTTCTGGAGTCATCTTGAGGCTCCCTTGGGACTCTTTCCGGGCGATGGGGTGGCGGAGCGAAGACACCCACGGCGAACCACATCCACCCCTTGTCTTTTTTGAAAGTACCCACGTGTCCGAACGATCAGAAGAGGCCTGGCCAAGCTATTCGGACTATGTGTTCCCTCAGCCGTTGTCGAAACCCTTGGGGGAATAGAATAGGAGGAGAGAGAGAGAGAGAGATTTCTGCGCCGCGAATCAACGGAATTGCTGCGCCCTGACAGTCTTACATCGTGCGCAAGCACCGTTTCTGGGACGGCAATTGCTGCGCCCTGACCTTCTTGCACCGTTGCACAAGAGTCTTTGAATCTGCTGTACATTCTGAAGACGAGTGTGCGCGTCGCCAGGGCGAGAGCCACATGTTGAACACGGCCCGCCCTCCATCCGTGAACATCTTGCAAACTTTTGCGTTGAATGTGCGCGGCGCTGGGGCGAGAGCCACACTTTGAAAACGGCCCGCCGTCCATCCGCGAAACACTTACAAATTTTTAAGACGAATGTGCGCGGCGCTAGGGCGAGAGCCACATTTTTGAAACGGCACGCCCGCTACTCGTGAAGCTGTTCCAAATTTTGAGCTTAAGGATCATAACTGTTGCAGAATGATAGGGAGAATCGCCCAGCCCGCCCTATCGACACGCTTCGGGGGGCGACAGGACGGAGTTATCTAGAAGGAAAGTTGACGGAGGTGAAGGGGGCGTGTTGGGGCCCTCTTGGAGACCCTCGGGGGCTTCCTTGGGGGGGCGGGGGAGGCTCTTTTGGATCTCCTGGGGCCTCTTGGGGGTCTCTTGGGAACTCTGGGGGCCCCTGGAGGTCTCTGGGGGCCTCTTGGGCAATCTCAGTCAGGGCTCTCTGGGCCTTTCTGGCGCCGTTGGAGACCGTCTTGGGGTCCTCTTTGGGCCGTCCTGGGGCCCTATTCGCGCTCCATGGGCCTGTTTTGATGCCCCCTCGGAACTTCTTGGAGCTCTCTTGTTGGCCCCTGGCAGTGCTTGGGCTGTCGAAAGATCGAGAGGGCGAACACGCGAACACTTGCCAAACGCATATTGACAAATACGGCACTGCACGGCATCCCCGCTGGAAGTACGACGTGGGAGAGCGACGCGGGATGGAACGGGACCAGACGGCATGGCACGACCGGCTGCACGGCAGGCCCGACAGAGGCACGAGTTTAGATCTCACCGCGGCACGGAACGGCACAGCACGCCGACGACAGCATGTACGAGTCCAGGACATGACGCGACTCGGCACGGAAGTGCGTGCCAAGGACAGACAGGACCTGGGTCACGATCACCGCAGCAAAGTGGCAGATAGTTTCGTGTGCGATGCTTGCTGCCTGGAGGTGATGGAACTGTTGCAGGAGATGAAGGTGCAGGCGGCTGCTCCTGCATCCCGCGACCCCCACTCTCCATGTCGCCGGCACGTGCAACACGTTCGTTTCCCAGCGTTGGTTTGTGCAAGATTCCAGAGAGGCGGGGCATTTCAAGTGTAGCCCCACAAATAAGCTAGTGGCATTCAGCGCGCCCCCAAGAGCCCATCCAGAAACGATTCCCAAGCAAATTGTCGTGAGAAGGGCCGGGGGGAGCACTCGTGGAACAAGGGGGATACCAGTCGAGCTGAAGCTGGATTCAGCCCGAGCCCCCCCCAAAACAATGGCCCATTTGACAGCCTCTGTGAGCCGCTTGGGGGACACGTCCTTGTTCATCCTTCCTATGGTTGGGGACCTTTGTTGTACCACCTTGGAAACAATATTGGACTATATCTGAGGTCATCGTGGAAGCCATCTAGGGCAACCTTTGACGCTCTGACCCTCACCCTTCCCCCCCCTCCTGCATCCAAGGGGACGGAAATTCGAAGGGTCAAGCTACCCCAAGCCGCAAGCCGCGTCGCTCATTACCACCCGCCCTCCCAGCTTAGAGGCAGCATCCAAGCCCAGAGCCCCGCCCCCTCGGAAGCGCAGTGCCGAGCAGTCGTTGAGATGAGTGGAGCCCGGGGCACTAGCACCGATCCATGGATCGCTCTCCCTTGAGGACGCTTGCCAAGGCCGAATTTGGAACCAGCTTAATGGCCCCTTGTATTTGCAGAGCCGATGCAGAGCGCCCGCGCATGAACCAGCACATGTTGGTACATAGTGTGCTCTGCGTTGTGTGTTGGCAGGGGTGGTGGGCCTGCGAAAGGCGGACGTTTTGAAGGCACCTCCGCCGCCCTGGTCAAAACCAATCAAAAGTGATCATGGGGCACCCGCGCACGGTCCAGATTGTGCCGCAACGTGCATCTTGCATCGTGTTTTTGGTACAAATAGTAGGCCAGCACAGAGCGGACAATCTGAGGGCACCCCCGCCGTCCCCGCCAAGAACCAATGCAAAGTGCTCGCGGGGAGCCCGCGCACGGTCCAGATTTTGCTGCAATGTGCACTTTGCATTGTAGCGTTTGGGTTTGTCAAGGCTTTTTCAATATGACCTCCTCGTGTCCTCGCTGTTCCATCGTTCCCTTGTCTCGACCCCTGGCCTCCTTTCCTGACCTGGTTCCCTTGCTCGCGTGGCGGCCCTGGTTAGTTTCATTACCTCGTCTCCTATCTCGGTCCATCGTTCCCCCGTTCCCTCGTTGGTGGGATGACAATGTGGTCCAGGTTATGTGGTTATCGCCATCTCTTCGTTTGACGGCTTCGCTCCTCAGCTCGTTCCCTCGTCGCCAGGTGCCCTTGCGCCTCGCGTCTCGTAAGCTAGCTGCTCCATATTTCCCTGGACGGGTGAAGGCGTGTTTTTCTTGTACCCACGCGTTGCCTGTCACATGCGAGTCCTTCTGTGTTTGGGCACCGCCATGTTGAGGGATGCCCACGACGAGAGGTCGAGAAGGAGTACAAGGCGGATGAGGAGGCCCACCAGAAGTACACCTGCTGGTGCAGCAGCAACCAGGGCGAGAAGACGGAGGCTGTTGCTGCCGCACAGGCTGCGCATCGACTTCAAAACTTGGCTGCAGTAAAATGATTGGCTGACGGGTGTTCCACACCCAGATCCAGAGCCTCCAGGACATCGGATTCAATTGCCTGTCGATGTTTTTTTGTTCAGCCGAAGGTTACGCGACGTTTCACCCCCGTCCAGCCCCATTCTGGGCAAACTCCTGAAGCCTGACAAGGCGAGTTTGAACACATCGCAGTGGACGAGTTCCGAGGCCCAGAGAGGCCGGCCTCCCGAGGGGGGAGGCGCGTCGCCGCCCCCGCCCCCGCGGCGAGATGCCAAGATGCCGTGTCTGCTCAGGCGCGGGTCCAGGAGCTCGAGACCTTCATCGAGGAGGCGGCCAGCAAGCAGGGCGAGCTGAAGACGCACATCGGCGAGCTGCAGCAGCAGATTGCCGAGGAGCGCCTCGGCCCTCCCCGCCGCCGTCGTGAGGCAAGGGCACGGGATTGAATATGCGTAAGAATAGAAACAGTATTAAGCGCGAGAGACGGAGGAGGAGCAGGAGGAGGAGGAGGGAGACGAAGAAGAGGAGCAGGAGGAGAACAAGGAGGAGGAGGAGGAGGAAGAGTAGGAGGGGGAGAAAGACGGGGAGGAATAGGAGACGGAGGGGGAACAGGAGGAGAAGCAGGAAGGAGCAGCAGTATGAGGAGGACGACGGCGACCGCGACGGAGGATGCGGAAGGAGAAAGAAGGATGAGGAGCCGCTTGCGCAGGACCCCAGCAGATAGAACTTGACTCGCCAAGCTGTGCACCACGGTATTGTTGGACGTCCTGGCACGCACGGTGGTGTGAGTATACAGCTCGCGCAGTACTTATGACACGCATTGCGATTTCCCGTAGCAGCCTGGATGTGCATTCCCCCCCACCCCGTAGTGCCGCACCGTCCGTTCGGTGCTTCCCGCGCCCGCGTGGTGCTCGTCACTGTTTGCCTCTGGTGGTCGGCGGCCCCTTCCGGGCCCCCTTCGCGTGCCTCCCACAAGCGGTGTGCTGTCCAGGGCCCCTCCGCCGTGTGAGATCGCAACCTGGAAGGGAGAGGGCAAGGGGCCCAGAGTCGATTCGGCTGTCCCCCATGCCCCGTGGTCCCTCGCGGCGCCCTGCGGTCCTGGAGCGGAATTCGCCGAACGCATGGCGATTTCCGAACCCTACCTCGAGTTTCTCGATAAGCGTCGGGGGGGCGTCACCCCCGCCGACAGCCCCACATCGACCCCCGTCGCGGGCAGCCACCGCCCGCCGAAGGCGCTCCGACCCCCGTCGCGGCGCGACGACGAGGCGAGGTTGACCCCCGTCGGGGGGTTACCCCCCACGCTTATAAAGAAGCCCAGAGTACCCCCGCCTCCCATCGATTTATCCAGTGTGGGGCGAGGCCCAGGGTCAAGTCGTCCGCATGGCCCGCGGCCCTGCGGCGTCGGCGGAGGCACGGGGCCCGATTCGACTGATCCCGTGGCCCCGCGTGGCTCTTGTGTTGAGTCGGGCGTGTCCCTCTACAGGAGGAATATTGAGAAATAGCTTGAAACACAGTCATGGGACGATGTTTTAGTATGGTTTGACTCCTTTGGGGTATTTTTGTATATTTCTGTGTTTTCGCCCAAAATCCGCCTGTAGGGGGGCATGCCCGACCTAACTCCTGTGGCCCTCGTCTGCTGGGAACAGACACAGGTCGGGGTTTGGCCGCATCCCCCGGGCCGAGGCGTCCGTCGCTTCTCTTCGTGGCCTGCAGCTCGGCACCGCGACTGCGTGCGGTCGTTGGTGTTCAATCCTTCTGCGATGTGCCAGCTGCTTCGTTGTTTGACTCACGGGTGCTTCGGTTCTCAGTGCGTTGTCATATATTCCTCCCGCCTTGGAAAATCTCATCACGATCTGGACGATATATATATATATATACACATAGAGAGAAAGGTGGAGCCTGCATGCGTCACGTGTAACAACTTACGTGCGATTATTTGAATGCGCCGGCTGAAACGGCGGCATGGCAACGATTTTCACCACTGGGGATATTTGTTTTTGGGGGAGGGCAGCCATACGCACAGGCTTTCGCGCAGCATGCACGCGTGCACACGGGGCGAGACGATGTGTATCCACGTCATGGGGAAGTCGCATCGCCTCGCAAAATAGAATTCGTATGCGGCTTCATGGAGCGAGCAGGTTGGCACAAGGACGGGGGCCGACTACACACGGTGGCAGGCAGGTGCGGGAGAGCGGGAGGGAGCGTGGGAGGAGCGGGCACAAGAGAAGCTTCAGGGTATGAGTATTGAGCCAGGGGGCTCCTCCTCCTCCTCCTCCTCCTCCTCCTCCTAACCAAACAGTGAGGGGGCGGAGCAACACATGATAATGCTGCGTGGGGGCGTTGCATCTGGCTCGTCCACCCCTTCCTGCGATGGCCCTTCTCTGAAGCCGCGGTTCTATCCGATTCTCTTGCGCACGCCCCCGACGCATCAGGATCAGGAGGCCCTGCAAGTGGCCACGAAGACAAAGGAGGAGGAGACAAGTGTCTTCAAAGCCCAGGCCAAGGAGACGAAGGAGGTCATCGCCACTCTGGAGGACAGCCTCGCGCAGTTGCCTGGGTAATTTCTCAATCAACCCAGTTCGTTGCAAGCATTCGCTAATCTGGTCTGGACCGCTCTCTCGAGTTTGTGTGTTTAGTGTTTGGCATGCCGTGCTTGCAGATCTGCTAGAATGGCCAGATCGGCAAATCAGCAAAGGCGTCTGTCCCTGCTCAGCCGCCCCCGTTTGGTTCTCCGACTGGGTCGATGTGCCGAGTTGCATTTTTGCATTGTCGTGTTGGTGCCTGACATCGGCGTTTGGCCCGTGGCCGTGTTGGCTCAAGCATTGTAGGGCCTGGCATGAAAACGGCAGCACCTGTGCAGGCCTGTCTGGCGCAACCGTTGGAACACCTGGTGTCGTAGGAGGTGCAAGCGACGGTTAGATCTAGGAAAGCTAACTTACTTTCTGCTTGAGGTGGGGGGAGGAGGTGGATCGAGGGGGTCAAACTTCGAGGGTGGCGAACCCTTGAGTCGAAAGTCGTCCAACTATATTCGCTGGTCTGAACGATTGCGAGTCGCAAGACGCGGAGACTTCCGATGAGTCAGCTGTTGCGAGCTCTGGCGGCAGACACTATTCGTGGCCCTGAGGCAGCTGCGCTGCTGCAGCCCACGTGCGGCCTGCTCGGGGCAGGCTACCAGTCGCTGCAGCCAGCGTCGGCAGAACTTGTCCGTGATACCGTTACCCTCTTTCTCGAACTGTTGCTTCCAACTCCTCCTTCGCCCTCCTCCCGAGCGCGCGCGAGCCCGCACGGGGTGACGGGACGCGGGAGACGGGCAGGCAGGAACAATGCGGCCAGAGCGGATGCTGCGTGGGGACGCCACAGGTTGGGGGGGCTGTGGGTGACTGGGCAGGAGGCCCGCGGGGCGCGCGCGTTCCATGCTTCCAGCGATTGGCAGGAGAGGGGGACGAGCCAGCATCGGGGCCACACGGATCGGCTGGAGCCGTTTAGTTTTGGTGGGGGGTTGCACGGCGGTTCATCGCGTCGACGTGGCGGCGACCCAAGCGCGGGCGTTCGGTATTGATCGCCGCCAGTGGCCTGGAATCGGCCGACATCGAACGATCTGCCCCGTCGGAGGGTCGCGATCGTTCGGGGTTGAACGGTCCGCGCGGTGTCACAAGCCACTGAGCAGGTCGTCTCCACGCGACATGCCGTACGGTGATGGTCCCGCGAAGCGTCGGCACGTCTCGTGGTGCTTCCGAGCCAGGGTCAGGAGGAGGAGCGAGGGAGGGAGTCAGCTGCGTGCGAGGAGCGAGGGAGGGAGCAGGAGCGACGGGAGGAGACGGGCATTGAGCGGGATACGGCGAGTCGGGTCGCGCTTACGTCGGGCCTCGCTTGCTCACACCGCGCCTATCGCTCGGCTCTGAACAATCGCGGCTGGCGGATACAGTCAAGACCCAAGGACGTTGTATTTCATCCAGGGTACCCTTGCATCCTTGCTTCTTCGGCCATTATTGGGCCAGCTTCGACGCCCAAGGGCGTCCATCTTGGACGGTCCGAGGGCCTTGCATACTTGCATTGCGTCCTCATTCTCGACTTGGTATTGTTCGGACGTGTGCACCCTTTCCCCGCGAGGACCATCGAGGAACATCTTGGACCCTCGTGCGAAAATTAGGCGAACGGAACCCGAACCATGCACGGGGAATGGACGCCCCAACGATGGCGAGTCGATGTTGCCTGCAGTGCGGCTCGTTTGACGTCGGCCGCTTTGTGTGGCCAGCTGTGACGTGCAGCCCTGGACGGCCCTGGCCCCGCATCGGTGCGGCGCGAGCCTGCCGTGGCCATCTCAGAAGGCCCCTTGGCGGCTTCCACGAGGCCTTCGCAGAAGCCGCCCTGCCGGGGCTCACCTCGACGCCTCCGATTCGATGTTCGGTGTCGGGGGCTTCCGATTCCCATTCGGTTCGGCTCGGGACTCCCGATCCGGATGCCGAGTTCTCAACGGAGGGCTCATTGGCCTGCCGCTTTACGCCGACTCGACTCCTCCTGACTTGGCTGCCGATGTCCGCCCATCCAACTCATGTCGATTGCCGATCCGACTTATGTATTCGATTCTGGGCCCGCCTGCCTAGCCTTCGTAAGAGCCTCGCCGCCTTCTTGCATGCGACTCCAGGAGGGAACAAGGGCAAGGACAACAATAGAAGGGGTACGCAGCTCGACATGAGGTTGAGGTGGATGGGGAAGTCGCGTGGAGGGCTTGCCCACCGGCTGCAACGCTGCAGGACGCGGTGAGTGTGCTGTCGAAGGTGCAGCTGCTTCAGGGTGGAGGGCACGGCAGAAGCGTGAAGGCGGGTGCTCAGTGGTGCGGGGGGGGGGGCTGAAGCTTGACGGGGGTATGTGAGAGAGGGAGGGGAATCGAGAGAGAGAGAGAGAGACAGAACAACATACAAAGAAAGAGAGGCCACATATGATGGTGATGATACGACGTTGACGATAGCTACGATGAAACTTTTGGTTGGCTCGGATCATATTGATGCAGCTCTGATGGTGACGATGCTGAGGATCGCGAGGACGGTGAGGATGAGGACGAACACGAGGGCGGTAATGAGGATTGTGCCTGCAGTGGTGCACGAACAGAGAATGGATGGGAACCAGGAGAGAACAGTATCAAGGTGGTCTTCTTCAGTACCCACATGCTGTCCCTGGAGCCCCCTGTGGGCCCCACTCGGCTGCCAGAGGGCCAAGAATGGCTGAAAGACGTTCACAATATTTCTCGATTGTCAACTCAGGAGGGATTGGGACCAGGATGATACTTGCTCGACGCGGAGATCCCAAGATGCGGATCTTTTCTTTCCCTGGGAGACAAGGCACGAGCAATTCCGAGTGTGAGTGTTGCCGAAAATAAGTAACTAATGAGTATGCGGGAGTATGAGTAAGAGCCGGTCCGAGTACGAGTGGAGCTGGGCACATGTTAATCCGAAAATTAGTTGTCTGAGAACGAGTGGGTCTGAGCACTGAGTGTGAGTGAGTTTGGGTATGAGTGGGTCTGAGTGTGAATGAGTCTGAGTGCGTCAGTGTGCGAGCCTCTCAGCATGAGCGGCTGGGTACGAGGGGGAATGGATGCGAGTGAGCTTGGGCGTGAGTTAGCCTGAGTGTTCTTGCATCTGGATATGCGGAACTATGAGTATGGGTGGGTCGGATTATGGACGAGTGTCAAAGTTGAGCTAGTTTGAGGTTTCACGAAATCGGCTTGATTGGATTAAGCAAAGTGGGGAATGTGGGCGCGAGCATGACTGAGTCTGGGTGTGAGTGGGTCTGAGTGTGAGCGTCTGAATGCGAGTGAGTCTGAGTGCGAGTGTGACATGATTGCGAGACATACTGGCATGAGTGGGTACGAGTTTGAGTGATTTTGGGTGCAAGTGTTCCTGGGCAGGATACGCGTATCCTAGCATGCGTAAGTCCGACTTCCGGTCTTTGAGGCCTCCTGGGCCCTCCTGGAGTTGCCTGGGGCTTCCTGGGGCTTTATCGTGCCTCACGCGACCTCTTGGTACGGAAAGCTCATGCAGCGATGGCGCGCCGGCGACAACGGCGAAGGCGTTCAAGGTCGAATGTCGCAGGATAGAACGACGCGGAACACACAAGGGCTCGGCAGCGCCACACGACCCGACGGAATTCAAGATTGAACAAGCGGGGTCGCAGTCGGTTCAAGGTCGAACGATCGAGGCGGTGTCCAAAACCTTTGGGTGCGCCGACGCGGCGCGAACCTACCGCAGCATCCTGCGGTTTTCTTCGGCCTCATGGGCCTTTCCAGTAAATAAGCCTTTCGTTTTGACCCCTTCCCCCTTTTTCACTCGGCGGTGAATAGGACTGGTCCTAAACCTCCTCCTCATCCCCCCGCTCTCCGTAGCCATGTTGGCTCAAGGGCCGCGCTGTCTCCAGCCCACCAGTCGGCGGCGGACAGCGGCCCGCGCGCTTCTGTCTTGCGCCGCTCGTGGGGGGAGCGGGCTCGCGGGATGATCATCTACGAGAGCGGGGTCCAGAAGGTGTTTCAGCTCAGCGGGAGCGTCTTCCCCCAGGCCCTGCGGATCGCCCTCCCGACGGGCGTCCTGTCCAGCTTGCTCACGCTCGCGGTCTACGACGCAGAAGCTTTCGGCCGCGGCTTCGACCCGGAGGCCACCCTCATGAAGAACAACGCCATTTGGGGAGGATTCACCTTTCTGGTGGGCTTCCTGGTCGTGTTCCGCACGTCCGTGGCGTACAGCCGCTTCTGGGAGGGGTGCACGCACGTCCACGACATGGGCGCCACGTGGTACGACGCCTGCAGCGGGCTGGTGGCCTTCTGCAGGCACTGCCCGGCCGACAAGAGAGGCGACATGTGTAGGTTCCAGCATATCTTGGTCCGGCTCTTCAGCATGATGCACGCGGCTGCCCTCGGCGACATCACCGACAGCTCCGACCTGGGCGATGTGCTCGAGGCATACAGCTTGGAGCTCATCGATGCCGGCGCGATCGACCAGCAGAGCCTCGTCACAGTCATGGAATCGAGCGCCAAGGTGGAGCTGATGTTCCAGTGGCTTCAGGGGCTCCTTGTGGAGTACATCAACGTCGGTGTGCTGACCATCCCGCCACCGATCCTGACGCGCTCCTTCCAGAGCCTGAGCAAAGGCAAGCAGTCGTTCGAGGACGCGCTCAAGATCTCGATCGTTCCCTTCCCGTTCCCTTACGCTCAGACGTGCGACTGCATGCTGCTCATGCACTGGGTCGCGGTGCCGTTTATTGTCACTCAGTGGATGGTGACGTGGTGGTTGGCCTTCATATTTGCGTTCGTCCAGGTGTTCACCCTGTGGACCCTCAACCTGATTGCCGAGGAGCTTGAGAATCCCTTCGGCCTTGACCCGAACGACATCGACTCGGTCCAGTTACAGACCGCAATGAACCGGCACCTGCGACTGCTGATTAGCAGCTCCGTGCAGAGGCTTCCTACGCTGCAGCCCGACCTGGACCTGGACGAGCTCGCCACAAACATGACGTACAGAGAGGGCCAGGCGTCCTTCTTCGACATGTGGGCAGAACTATCGTCCAAGCAAGGCGTCAGGGTCCAGCGCCGGTGCGCCAGCGTCCCCAGGAGCACCGCCCGGCTGGGCGCCTCGACGTCCTCGCGGTCCTGGGCGCCGAGGGGGTCCAGGCAGCGTCCGTCGGACGCCCGCTCCTCGCCGTTCTGGAGCGACCCGGGGCATGCCGGCGCCGCGCAGCACAGCGCGTCCGATCTCCCCTCCCGACAGCACAAGGCGGACGATCACGACGCCGACGACGACCAGCCGAACGGCCGACGACGGCGGACGGCCAACGCCGACCAGCCGACGACGACCGGCGATCTTTGCCGAGAGCCCTCGCTTCAGTCCTGGCCGTCGAGCTCGGGAACACCGCAGGAGTCGGCAGTGCTGGCGTCGCCAGGGCCGCCCGACAAGCCCTGGCCCGTGGCGAGGATGATCTCCGTTCCACGTCTGCCTCTTGACATGCTGCGATAGCCGTGTGCGGAGTTGCAGAAGTGCAGGAGGCACACGTGGCAGCACACGGGCGTGTGGGCTTTCCGTCTTGTATAGAGCACGGTGGTCTCCACCTCCCCTCTCTCCTCCCGCTTCCCTCCTCCTGCCTGTAAGGACGGGTTACATCCTCCTCCCCCTCCTCCTCCTCCTCCTCCTCCTCCTCCTCCTCCTCCTCCTCCTCCTCCCCTATAGACTATAGACCCCTAATTGGAGTCGCACTGGTTTCACCCCCGCTCTTATACATACTCCAGCCGTCATTCGGCGCATGCCAGATAGACAACCTTAGCCTGTACTGGCTGAATTCGAGACGTGCCTGGCATGTCACGACGAGAATTGCTTGACTATGGAGATGGCGGTGGCGTGGTCTTTTGTGGGTTGGGGTCGGACGGAGGCCTTTCGGCAGGCTCGCGGGAGTCTCAGAACAGCTTAGATAGCTGTCTGGGATGCATTATGTCTTGCTTGAGCTTGGAGGGCTCGCAATGTCAGGGACCTGCAAACGAGCAAGGTTTTGCGCTCGCCGAGCTTCACTTCCTCTGGCGTAGGCTCCAACATGTGTGAGTACGCGACGTGGCGGGGGCGAGGCATCTCATCCCCGCTGGGCAGCACCCTGGGAGGGCGAGGCCTCCTCCTCCTCCTCCCCATCCTCCTCCTCCCCTCCTCCTGCTGCTCCTCCTCCTCCGTCCTGCGACGGCCTGGGGCGCATCGGGCACCTGGAGGCCCGGCACTGGACATATATTCCAGCCGAGGTCATCGGTGGGTGGAACTTTCGGGCGGGCGGCGGGGCGGGGGCCTGCGTGGGGGGGGCGTGGAGTTGGGGGGGGGGGGTCGGCGCGGTGGCGGGCGAACTGGCGGCGCGATACAGAACGCCACCCGTCGTGCTGGAGGTGTCTGGCTTTCCAGCCCTCGCTGGCTTGCCACCTGGGTGCAGCAAGCCGGAGGGGATTTTGAACATGCCGCTGCCAGACAAATTTTGGATGCAGGCTTTTCTATATCCCTGATTTTCTTTTCTGCATGCCTATTGCCTGGCAAGGTTGGCTCCGGCGCCCCGGCTGCTTTTTTCGGCTGAGAAAGGCCGGCCGCTGGTTTTGCAAACCATGCAGCAGTCGATCCATAGATTTGGCGCTCGCGCAGTTACCATTGCGAAGACAGACAGCAGATGCAAAGGCATTTTCCCAGGTAGCGCTGCATACACAAATTACGACCAGAGCCGTATTCAAAGCGCACAATTCTCTGAGGGGAGTCGGCCAAGGCAAAGCCCAGTGACAAGACACTGCTGGATACTCTCATAACATGTGCTAGCACAGCAGGTGTCATTAGCCTAGGTGAGCGTGCTGCATACATGCACACTTTCACACGTTGGGCTGTTTGAGGCGGACAGGCTTGATTGAAGGTGACCTCCGAATGCGGACGCCTCAGTTTTTTCTCACACGCACCTTCACTCAGGAGCCGGTCGCTATTCCTTTTCTTTCATCTTCCCTCCTCTGATCCGTACTCCCACTCCTCCTAACTTCTGATTGTTCGGAGGAGGGTTGTGGGGGGGCGGGGCAGGGGTGGGCGGGGTGAGGGAGGGGAGCATGCTCGCCGTCGCCGCCGTGCACCCGTTGGGCATGCGGTTGGGGGCGTGAGCCGGCGCACGGGGCACTCTCTGTTGGTCGCACGAGGCCGTCGGGCCGCAGTGCGCGACCTGCGGGTGACCGCCGCCCGCGGACCGCCCGGCATCTCGTGCTCGGGAGCCAGGCGGGCCTGGCCCCCCGCCTCCTCTCCCCTCTCCGCTGTCGGCGACGCCTGCGGCGAGGTCACATCCTTTCCTCCTCCCCCCGCTCCCCCTCTCCTCTTCCTCCTCATCCTCCTAGCTGTCGTCGTCGTTGTTGCGCGGCGGGTGCCGCGGGAAGAATTGATTAGTTACCCCTCACTAGTGGGACCCAAGTCGAAACCATGATTAGTTACCCCCTATTGGGAGGTTGGGAGGGGTTCTAAAGACTTATAGTACAGGTTACCTCATGGAGCTCTCGGGGGCGCTCTGGATCCTCCCAGAGTTTCCTGGGGTTCCCCGAGGCGTTCTGGAGCTTCCTGGGGTGTTCTGGGCCCTTCTGTGTCTCCCTGGGACCAGGTGGAGTCGCAGGTGAGGAGGAGGGAGGAAGAGCAGCGGGGGGAGCGGGCGGAGGAAAACATCTCAACCTTCCCGGCCCGGTCACCCCTCCCAACAAAACTTCAATTCATATGCCTCACTGACCTGGGCGGGAACAGGCCCGTGAGAACCCTTTGGTCGGCACCCCCTGGGGAACGCCTACCTCCCTTCCCGAAAAGACAATTATCTCGGAGAGTCTCCAACACTCTGGGCGCAAACGGGCTCGGACGGTACCCCTTCAGGAGACCGTAGAGCGACGCCTACTACATTGTGATGACCATGAGGCCCCGAAAAGAGGCACGTCTACCCAAAGAAACGTCACTTCGACCCGAAGGGTACTGACATTCCAGGTGCGGACGGGCCCGGTGAGAACCCCCCTGACCGCACACCTATCCGAAGAGGCAACTCCCTCTGAGAGGTCCCCCTGATCGTGGCGTCACGAGCCCACGATGATCCCCTGAACCGTACATCCTGGGATGCTCCAGCGCGGTGTCTGCTGCGTCGCGGTGGTCATGAAGCACTGCAGAGCTCCGGAGGGAAAAATCACACAGATACAGTGAAGCGTCGACTCCCAGGAAAACATGGGAACATATGGGACGAAAGCCCAGAAAATATTGGGAAATATGTGGAATCCTTGGAGTTGTGTCTATTTATTTGTGTGTCCCAGGGCCCCTTCAAAAACGATACGCCTGCGGGCCACACTTTCAATCCGACCTGGCAGGTCCCGAGAATCGGGGCCCCAGCGGGCCCATGACGCCCCCGTACCAGGCTCCCCCTGGGAGGCCCAAGCGCGATGCCTGCTACGTCGCGATGGCGATTGGGCCCTGGAGGTGGCACGTTTGCCTTCAACGTAACCATTTTTTTCCTGGGCGCGAACGGGTCTGCGAGAACCCTCTGGCCAGCTCCCTGGTGGGAAGCCCTGAAAGCGATGCCTGCAATATGGCGGTATTCATGGGGCTCTGAAGCGGGACGGACGCGTCTAGCTCCCAACTTTGAGGAGGGCCCTTGCTGACGCTCCGGTCGGATGCCCAAGTGCGATGCCCGAGAAATCGCTGTGAACACGGGATTCTTAAAAAAGACGCGTCTCCCCCGCCCCCTCCAAACAAGTTGCCCCAACCATTGCCAGTCAGCGAGCCTGCGCTAGCCCCCATGCACGGTTCCCCTCGTGGGAGTCCCCAGCATGATGCATTTTACAACGCGATGTTCACGATGCTCTGAACAGAGACACGTATACCCCCTATCAACAATAACCAAACGAGACATTCCCTCGACTTGGGAATTCCAGGCGGGCCGCGCTGCCGACTTCCTCGAGAAGGCCCCCGACCCGGCGCAGGCACCACCGGCGGCAGCGGCCCCAGCCAGCTCCTGGCTCGGCGCCGACCCTGACACGGTCGAAGCGACGCCCGCGGAAGGGGCTCAGCCCAAGTCCAGGCCCGCGTCCCGGCCCCAGTCCCGCGCTCCAGGCGCGGTCGCACAGGGCACCGCACAGGAGCAACCGCCGGGCGACGACACCAAGGGGGAGATCCCTGACTACAGCTCCAAGGACGAGGCCCAGGCTCAGCGGCTGCCAGAGGCCGCAGGCGCAGTCCACTCGGTCTCACCCTCCCCAGACCACTGGAGCCCATCGGCAGGTCCACATTGACACGGGCCCCCGAGAGGTTCGGCGCAACAGCCCTGACCGTGGCCCTGACACGCAGCGCCAGGCCCGCTCCACCTGCGAGACTCCGGCGCAGGACGCACCAGCGGCGGCCGACGCCGACACCCGCGCCCCGCGCACACCCCACCGCCCACCGGACTGTGACAGCCGGGGCCGGGCGCACCGCACCCGACCCCGTCCTCCGTACGGGTACGGCCGCGGGCACAGCAAGGGAGGTGAGCCGGGACTTGGACCAGTATGAGAGCACGACAGGACGGCGCTCTTCCAGGGACACCAGCGACAGGGAGCGGGCCAGAGAGCGCGACCACGACCGAGACCGCGATCGTGACAGGGGCGGAGGTGGGGGCTACTCGCACCGATACGACGATCACCGCCACCCTGAGCACAACAGAGATGATCGCCGCCGCCCTGACCACAGCCGCCCCTGGGAAGATCGCCGCGTCAGCTGGCCGAGGCGCCCGAACGAGACGGCGACCACCCACCTGAAAAGGCTGAAGGGCGAGGGAGGCTTCTGCTTCGCCGCAGCCTGGCACTCCTGGTGTAGGCACGTGGGCCACGACAAGGCCAATAGCAAGGACACGGTCAAGCTCGACCCATCCTGCTGGCAGCCCAGCATAATCGACCGCTTCCTGGACGACATGGCACGCAGCCGCTACGATGTGGGGGCCTGGTCCTCGAATGTGGGCGTCTACATCGACTGGGACCACGAGAACGCCCTGTTTCAGGAGTTCCAACGGAGGCCGGAGGTGACCAAAGGCGAGGGGCGCGGGGGCGGACCGCCCCGCAGCTCCGGGTCCGCGGACAACTGGACCAGAATGCAGCGCCCCAGGCGCTGACTTGTCTCGAACGCTCCTGACTGACCTCGCGGCCTAGGACGCCCTGCCCTGACCGCCCCTCCCGTCCCTGGCAAGGTCTCTTGGCGTTCTTCTTCGGGTACGACCTGTTCGTCGCCTTCTACAACGCCTGGCCCTGTCTCCCCTACTCCCTCCCTCCTTCGCACCTGATATAGGGACGGTTCGTCCCTCTTGATTCCGCAGTTTCCACCTGCCTCCGGCGGCCGGTGGGGCCGCCCGGGTGCCGGCGCGGGATTCCCACGGCGCTGGCAGGCCAGCCCGGCTGGCCTATCTCCTGCCTGCCCGCTTCTCCCTCTCCCCGCCCGCTATACCCCCCCTCCCGCCACCATGGCGGCCGCGCCCGGCACAGCGCGGCTTCGGCCAGGTGCCCAGCGCTCGCACGCGATGGTCCTGTTTCACCTTGCCGCCTCGGCGGCCCCGCGGTCCTGGACGCAGCGCGGCCCCGGCCCAGCCCTGGGCTCCGCGGACAACGGCAGCGCCCTGGTACACCGCGGCTTCGGCCCGGTCCTGAGCGCTCGCCCCTGCAAGACCGGATCCGTTCCGCCTCCTGCTCCAGTGCACCGGCACCCTGTCGGTCGTCACAGGCGGCATGTTCTTGGCGTGTCCTGACTGCCGCGCCTCAAGTCTCTGCGGCTCCTGCACCCTGGACTTGTGGCACCATGAACTACCACGGCCCTGTAGCACTCGCTCCTGCTACCTGTACGATGGCACAACACTGCACTTCGTCTCAGCGTCGCTCTCCTCGCTCTCCCTGTTCCCTGACGCAGCTTGGTTGCAAGGCGCGTCACCTCTCGCCGCCAACTCGAGGCCGGTGTACAATGATGAGCCGTTGACGACAGCACCAACCGCAGCATGTTGCTTCGACCAGTACTCCGCCACTGGGTTCATGAAAAAGGCGCTCCTTTGCAAGTACGTCGGCTTCGGCACGTCCTGATCCCGAGGCTTTGCCTCCTCCCGGCCTCGTTCTGAGGCTGCGCCCCTCTTTTCCTCCCCCACCTCTGGTTAATGCAAGCTTCGCACGGCCCGCTTAGCTGCGACCGGAAGAAGTGCGCTTTCGACCCGCGGATCAAACAACTGTTTGCGAAATGTCCCCGTGATGCGTAGCACCCCGCAGTTTCGGATAAGAGTGAGGGGGCGGCGGGGACGCCGGCAGTCTGCGAGGCTTGCCCGCCGCAGGCGCAACATTTTGCAAGCTTTACAACGATCCCTCAGCAAACGCCGATTTCTTGCTAAAACAATTTAGGTGGGTCGCGGGTTGGATCGCAGGTGAGTCGCGGGTGGGTCGACGATGGATCGCGGGTGGGTCGCGGGCCGGGTCGCGGGTGGGTCGCGGGTGAGTCGCGAGTTGGTCGCGGGTTGGTCGCGAGCGGGTCGCGGGGTGGGTCGCGGGTGGGTCGCGAGGTTGGTCGCGGGGTGGGTCGCGGGTGGATCGCGAGGCGGGTCGCGGGTGGGTCGGGGGCTGGGTCGCAGGGGGAACGACAACAACAACAAGCAGAATCCGCACCACGGATCCGCACTTCAGCCACGCACTCAGGGACAATGAATGACCGTTTGGCCCGTTCTCTCTGACCATCTTGGTTGGCTGCCGATTGGAAGGCCGAGTGCGATGTCCGTTGCATCACGATGATCATGGGGCCATGAAGACAGGCACGTCTTCCCCATCAGAACTGCAACTCGATCTACGTGGTAAGTCCCTAGTCGGCTCACCATTGGGAGGCCCAAGTGCGGTGCTCGATATATCGAAGCGTTCGTTGGGCTTTGAAGTCTGATACTTCCCCCCCCCGTACCAGCAAGCATTGCCGTTTTTATGTGAGACGTCGCTCCCCCCGATTCGATCGGCTCCGTTTCGGGAGGCCCGAGTGCGACGTTTGCGATATCGCGGTGACCATGGGTCTCGGGAGAAAGGCACGCCTGCCTGGAAACGGCCAGTCTTCTCGAGTTTTTACAGTCTGGGCCTGGACGGGCTCATGGTACAGCCCCCCGGATCAGCTCGCCCTGCGAGGCCCGAGAGCGCTGCCAGTCGTGGGCGAGTGCGAGTTTAAGAGTAGGTGGATCTGGACGTGAGCATGTCCGCATACAAGTGAATCTGGCTATGTGCGAATCGATGATGATGATGATGATGACGACGACGACGACGACGACGACGATGATGATGATGATGATGATGATGATGATGATGATGATGATGATGATGATGATGATGATGACGATGACGATGACGATGACGATGACGATGACGAGTCTGGGTATGGGCGAATTTGAGTCTCAGCGGGTCCAACTTCGAGGGGACATTTGAGAACCCGCGTCACATTACAGATGAGGCTGAATGCGAATTTGTCCGAGTGGGAGTGAGCCCGAGTATGATGCAGTTTGCGTATACATTGATCTGAGTTTGCGTTTGCAACTAACTGAGTATGAGTGGGGCGAGTCTGATCTGAAGTGAGTCCGAGTGTGCGTGCGGGATCCAGGGTCCTGGGCATGAGTCAGTTTGAGCATCAGGCAGTGTGAGCCTGAATATGCGTGAGTCTGTGCGTGAGTGAGTCTGAGTGTGAGTGAGTCTGGGAGCCTGACTATGAGTTTGTCGACTTATGGGTGAACCTGGCTGCGAGCGAGCGTGAGTTTAAAGCGAAGGAGGCGGGAGAAAGACGGAGGCGGTGGTATCACACGGATGTCCAGAACCACATAGTTTAGGATGTGAGGGATGGCAGTAGGCCCATACTCGTGTCTTCGGGGAGCGAGAGTCCCATCTCTCTTTCTATCCCACTCTCTCTGTATATATATATATATATATATATATATGTAGTTGTCTCTCTCTCTCTCTCTCTTTCTTTCTCTCATCACCCTTCATTATTTCCCCCGCCCGTGCCCCATGCCTCCCGCACTCGCTTCGCTCTACCATCCCGGCAGCCTCTCAGGCGAAGCCCGTGCTCTTGCAGCTCGAGGGCATCGTTAACGCGGCGATGCTGCAGCGGCAGGAGCGGCGAAACGATTCTGCGTGCGATTGCAAACCTCGAGCAGCAGATGGCCACTGCCGTCGTTTTCGGCGTTGACTCTTCTTTGGGACCGCACGCGGAGGTGCGAGAAGCAGGGCGAGGAGGAGGGGTGAGGAGGAGGGGCGAGGAGGCAGGGGCGAGGAGGGGCGAGGAGCAGGAACGAGGAGGAGGAGTAACGAGGACGAGGAGGAGGAGGAGGAGGACGAGGAGGAGGGTCGTCGTCGAACGTCGGCATAGCTGTGGTCGGTATGCAGTGTGGCTCGTGTCGAAGTATGGCTCCGGTTGTCGGCCGCTCGCGCGATCGAGTTGGTGTCGCCTGAGTTGGCATGGCTCTGTTGTCCCCGAGTGCCGTTGTCGGCCCTTCGTGCGCTCGGGTCGGTATGGCCTGGGTTGGTACGGCTCCGATGGGCCCGTGTGCCGTGGTCGGCCGTTCGTGCGCTCGGGTGTACACGGCTGGGGCTGGTGTGGCTTCCCCAGAGGTTCATGAGCTGGCAGCTAGCACCCAATACCCGTGCGCCCCCCAGATTTCTAGTGGCGGTATTCTGGGGGGCTATGGGTGTGTGTTGTCGGATGGGGTTCCCCGCTCGAATGGGAGCCCCCGTCGGGGTCTGACAACTCGCACTCATGCTTCCCCATTTCTCCTCCCCAGAAGTTTGTGTGTGTGTGTGTGTGTGTCTGTGTGTGTGGTGTTGTTGTTTCATCCAGAGAACACGCTCCACGGGTTGCAGTCCACTTTGTATGGATTGTGTACCCCAAATCTCGCACCAAGTAGCTTACACCCCCTGCTTTGCACCACAGGTGTTGCACTTTACAGGCTGCATAGGGCCCCTGTTTGGGGTCCGCGCGTTGGCCTCATACGTTGCTGCAGTAGTTCATCGTGCTGCTTGATAGCGACGCTCATGGATGGCGTTTGTGTTCAACGTCGTGTTACCTTGTTTGGGTGCCACACACGTTCCCGTACATTTCTGCGGCCGATTGGTTTTCGGTCCTTGGAAGCATGTCATAGAAACGGGTACGGCTCTCATTCTCCAGTCTTGTCACTTTCCTCGGCAGGGCCATAAGGGGTCTAACTCTTCCAACCCTCGTGTGTCCTTTCCCTGTGGCGGGGCCGCAGGAGCTTCAAAGTTCCACCCCTCCCAGGCCCAGAACCTCTGGCAGGGAATGCCCCCCTTTCGTCGGGCTCTCGCTGCAGTGGAACGAACTATTCGTCTCCAGCTGCATGGGGCAATTTCTGTCACTGCGTCAGCGCAGCGATATCTCTTGGCGACGGGCAGAGGGCTGTAGCGTGCGACACCGCCCGCCGCTATTTTTTCAGGGGCTCCCGTTCGACTTGCCTGAACCATCTTGGGGCTGTCTTCGGCTCCCGTGGAGCCGTCTTTCGGCGGCGAGCGAAGGGGGGGAAGCGAGAAGGAGAAGGCCTTCTCAGACGGCGGCGGGACTTCTCAGAAGCCCTCTGGCCTTCTGAGGAATTGCCTGTGTCTGCGGGGCAGGCTTATAAGACTTCTCCGAATGTCGGGGGACTTCCGAGCCTTCTGAGAAGGCCCGCCCCCTCTCACCTCTCCCCCCCCCCCGGCTGGTCGCCGAGTCTCTTGCCGTCCTCTCAGCACCTTCCTGGGCAGTGGTGGGGCTGTTTTGCGCCACTCGGCCATCTGCGAGGTCGGGCCGGTCAGCCGAGGCTTCGCCTGGTGTGCGTCTCGTGGGCGCCTCGTGGGCGCCTCGTGCGGGTGGTTCAGCCGGGGTTTCGCCTGGTGCCCACCCGTGGGCGCCTCGTGGGTGTCTCGTGGGCGCCTCATGGGCGCCTCGTGCGCTGGTTGGTCAGCCGAGGTTTCGCATGGTGCCCGCCCAGGGGGGCCTCGTGGGCGCCTCGTGCGCTGGGCGGTCGACAGCTTGCACCGCAATGCGCTTGCCGACATAGCTTGCACCATATAGCTTCCACCAGTTATATTGCACCACGGAGCGTGCACCACACAGCCCGCACCACATAGCCTGCACCACGTATATCCCCTCCTTAAAAGATAGATTCCACCACCCTCCCGAGCCTTGACTTAGCGGACCTCTCTTGGACATTGCGAACTCCATGCGATTATGCGTCCGATTTTCCTACGATTTCATAGCATCCCAGCCAGGCCGGGTGCTGACACCCCCCTCATCCCTGCCAGATAATGATTACGATGTGCGCGCGCGCGTTCGTATCCAGCTTCGTGAGGCCCTTACACCATACATGCCACAACATGCACACGCGCGCACATGTCAAGCTTATACCAAGCACATTTGTCGTGTCAGAATTTCAACGTAAACACGACAACAAAAGTAGTTGTGCTTCATCAGAAGTTTTGCAGATTGTTTGCCCGCGAGCACTTAGTGGAACCATCGGAAGCCATACGAGTTTCGCAATTTCGTCAGGAACCCGCATTATCATCTCAGCACGCGGTTCATCTGCGTCGATCTACCTTGAGCCAAATTCACGGATCCAGACCACGAACATTATGTGGGCTACAGGCTACACGTGTGCGCGCAGCCACCCGCGCATATCGAAATCGGTCCACAAAGATTAACTTCGAAGCATTTCGAACTAGAGCTCTTCAAAAGCGTACGGAACAGCTTGGGTGTTTGTCGACCACAAGTTTGCCAGGTTGTTTATTTGAATTCTGCACGCGCGCTTCCTCGCCATCATCCTCATCAGCACCATGACATCACCGCCATTATCGTCACCGTCCATCGCCGCCGCCTCCTTCTTTCCCCTACTCGATTCCCCTCCCCTCCTCTCTTGTCCTGCTCCTCCACCTGCTCGCCCCCCTCGTCGCTCCCCTCCTCCGTCGAGCCAGCCCATGCTCTCTTCTCTGCTCTCGGCTGCGGGCACGCGCGCGCGCCGTGGAGAGCCGCCCCGCAGTACCTGTCCGCGAGAAGGCCCGGGCAGCTGGCCCGGTTCAGGGACGCGATGCAGAAGGACACCGGGGCGGCGTGGAAGCGCAGAACCAGGGTGTGGGGCTTTGGAGCGCGGGGAGGGGTCATTCCAGTCCTCTCCGCCCCCCCGTGTCCACGCCTCGCCTCCCCTCCCCTTCTTGTCGCATCCCTGCTCTCCTCGCCTCCCCTCCTTCCTGTCCTCTCCTCTCCTCCCTGCCCTTCCTTCCTCGCCTCGTCCCCCCCGTTCCTATCCTGTCCCTGCCCTCCCCGTTCCCTTCCCGTCCCCACGTTCCCCCCGGTCCCTCTCTGCTCCCTGCCCTGCCCTCCCGCTGCGCCCCGCCAGCTGCCCTCTCGCACCCTCGCCGCCCCATCAGTGCAGGACAGGTCCCAGGGGAGAGGGGGGAGCGATTCTCCACCCTGCCCTACTCTTGAGAGGCTTGTCTCCTTGCCAAGCAATCGGAAGTCAATCCAACGTTTCGCTTCAACGGGTTGCTCGTTCAACAGCAACGAGAGAGCTCGCCTCGTTGTCACTTTGTGTCGCTCCGCTCTGCTCATTCGCGCATGGGTGCACGTAGGTATGGGGGCCCTTCTTCTGGGCCTCCCAAACGGGGTCCGAGCAGATGGGGTCGGGGGATCGCGCCGCATCGCCGCCGCATCGCCGATGCATCGCCGATGCGGCTCGATGTGGAGCCTGAATTTCTCCACGCCGGCGTCGCCGATACGTCGCCGATGCAAAGGCGATGCAATGGCGATGCGGCGCGATCCTCCGGCCCCATCTACTCGAACCCCATTCAGGGGGCCTCCACTGCTGTACTCCTGCCCCGGGATCGACGGATTTGTGCAAAACGCCGACTGGAGGGATGGGTGCCTCGGGGAGTGGAGGGGGCCCATGGGTTGGAGGGCAACGACCGGATGCGGGCGTGCGGCCAGGCAGCAGACGTCGAGTAGGAGATCGACCAATGTTTGCCGAATCTACGACGCATGCGCAGATATGATCGTAGACCTGCGATCATTTTACGTATTTTTCCTTTAGAATCGACGAACATGGGGTAACTTACTTCTGTAGTCGATCTCCTACTCAAAGACGGAGGAAGAGGACACGGCAGGTGGGGGCAGGAGCGAGATAGACTCCGACAGTACGGCCATACAGTCATACAGCAGGCGGGAAGAAACGCGAGGGATGCGCGCTGCAGTGGTAAGTTTGGAGACGTGTGGTGAGGTTTCACGGCTGGAGGCGATGGAGCGATCGGAGGTGGTGAGTTTCAGTGGTTCCCTGGGTCTTGATCCCCAAAGGCCTCTGGAGGCTTGCTGAGAATCACGAGAGCCCAGACAAGTCCAAACAATTACCAAAAGCGTCCAGGATCCTCCCGACTCGACCCTCGAGGGTCCAGGGCAACATTTTCCACGATCTGGAGGCCCCTCTGAGATCCGAAATGCGGCCCCGCCAGAAATCACGGCCAGAGCCGTGGACCCCACCTTTCTGCGGCACCTCTCGGCCCGGGCTGGTCGGAGCGAGGGCCCCAAGGGTCGGGAAGACAGTCACTGGGATGGGAGGATGTGGATATCAGTACCCGCAGGCTGCCGAAGCTATCGTTCATTCCATCCGGATACGATTGCGCATGCCCTGCATCCTTCGACCCCTTCCTCCCAACGCGACAGCTGTTCTCCTCAAAGGGGGGCCTGAGACGCCCGGTGTGCCACAAAGGTTATGTCGGTCCTGTCCCTCTACAGGGGGAATTATCCAGGCAAAGCAACCTAACAGCGATGTGTATAAGCATATCTGGAAGCATCCCCCTTAAGATTCAGGTGAGAATCTAGTTGTAGAATTCTGCTGTTCTCGCAGTCGCAGTCGCATTCGCAATGACAGTCGCAGTGGCAACGGCCTTAGGATCCAATGGAATCCGAAGGATTCCTAGGGATTCCTAAGGCACCCTTAGACATCCTTAGGAAACCTTAGTAATCCTTAGGAATCCTGATTCCTAGGGATTCCTAGGGATTCCTAAGGATTCCTGAGGAATCATAAGGATTCCTACGGATTCCTGATGATGCTTAACTATGCCTACGGATTCCTAAGGATGCCTACGGATTCCTAAGGATTCCTAGGGATTCCTAGGATTCCTATGGATTCCTACGGATGCCTCAACCTGCCTCAGTTTCAGCCTCAGCCTCAGCCTACCTCGGTTTGCCTCAGCCTCAGCCTCAGCCTGCCTCGGCCTCAGCCTCAGCCTGCCTCAGCCTCAGCCTCAGCCTGCCTCGGCCTCAGCCTGCGTCAGCCTCAGCCTCAGCCTGCCTCAGCCTCAGCCTGCCTCAGCCTCAGCCTCAGCCTCAGCCTCGGCTTGCCTCAGCCTCAGCCTCAGCCTGCCTCGGCCTCAGCCTGCCTCGGCCTCAGCCTGCCTCAGCCTCCCCTCCCCCCCCCCTCCCCCCCCCCCCATTCAGCCTCACCTTGTCTCAGCTTCGGCCTGCCTCAGGCCTCATCCTCAGCCTCAGCCTGTCTCGGCCTGAGCCTGCCTCGGCCTCAGCCTCAGCCTGCCTCAGCCTCAGCCTGCCTCAGCCAGCCTGCCTCGGCCTCAGCCAGCCTCAGCCTCAGCCTCAGCCTCAGCCTCAGCCAGCCAGCCTCAGCCTCAGCCTCAGCCTCAGCCTCAGCCTGCCTCAGCCTCAGCCTCAGCCTCAGCCTCAGCCTGCCTCGGCCTCAGCCTGCGTCAGCCTCAGCCTCAGCCTGCCTCAGCCTCAGCCTGCCTCAGCCTTAGCCTCAGCCTGCCTCGGCGTGCCTCAGCCTCAGCCTCAGCCTGCCTCGGCCTCAGCCTGCCTCGGCCTCAGCCTGCCTCAGCTCAGGCATTAAAGATATGGCACAGGATTAGTGTTCTGGGAAAACGAAGATCACGAAGTGGCCTACAGTTGGCTCCGGGCAATCAAAATATGGTACAGGAATGGTGTTCTGGGAGCACGAAGAACACGAAGTGGCCTACAGTTGGCTCCGGGCATTCAAAATGTGGTCTGGGAGTGGTGTTCTGGGAACACGAAGAACACGAAGTGGCCTACAGTTGGCCCCGGGCATTCAAAATGTGGCCTGGGAGTGGTGTTCTGGGAAGACGAAGAACACGAAGTGGCCTACAGCTGGTTCCGGGCATTCGAAATGTGGCCTGTGTTCTGGGAGCACGAAAAACACGAAGTGGCCTACAGCTGGCTCCGGGCATTCAAAATGTGGCCTGGGAGTGGTGTTCTGTTGGCTCCGGGCAGTCAAAATGTGCCTCCTGGCAGTGAAAATGGGGAATCCCCGGTTTTCCCCGGCACCCGTCCGGCATCTGCCCAGACCCCCTTGGGGAGTCATGATGCTCTCTTTTGAGCCCACTAGAAACCTATCAGTCTTCGCTGTTAGGCAATATGCAAAAATAGTGGAAAAAACTAGTCGGGGGACGACGTTTTCTTGAGTATGTTTTAATGCTTGTTGATTCTTTTCTGACTATTTTTGATTTTTCATGCAAAATCGGCCTGTAGGGGGACACGCTCGACTTACCACAAGGGTGGCGACGCCTGGAAATCTCGTGTGGACGGACCCGTGCCGCACCCCGCCCGGTGGTGCCCCGCCGCGGCTGTCGCCACCGGGCGCGGGCGTGGCTGCCGGAAGCGAGCCGCCGCGGGAGGACCTCTGGGACGTCGCGGCGTCGCTCGACAACGTCGCCGTGGCGTACGGCGGCGACCGCAAGGCGAGCGTTTTTTAATTATGTTCTCTCTGTTTCCCTAAGGGTTTGTCGACTTTTCGCCAATCGGCTTGTGGAGATCGAGCCAGATAAGCCCAGGTAAATTTAGTAGATAGATCGAGGTAAATCCAGGTAGATCCAGGTAAATCCAGAGATCTCCAGGGAACGTTGGAGCAATTCGCGGCCGCTCCAGCGCGAGTCGAAGGACGGCAGAAGTCGTTAAGCCTCTAACGACTGTTCTTCTTCAGGGGTGTGCACCTGTCTGGGCTCGCGCTCTTCGGGGTGGCCCGTCGTGACCACGGCTGGGGGTAGCTCGGCAGAGGGGTCCTGCTGAGCTCTGCCCACGCCCCCCCCCCCCCAGGAAAGAGGTCGGACAATGGAAGAGGACTGGCTTTTTCGGTGTTCGCTTCGGGGTGGATCTACGCCGTGCAAGCATCGTCGGCCAGCAACTGGCCCCCTGGCTCCGTCGGGGGCCCTGCCGATGCCGACGCGCCCCCCCGCGCCCAGCCCCAGGGCCCGAGCCAAACGGTGCTTTACGGCGATTTCGTGGACCGTGTTCGTTTGGATTTCGTCTCGCAGCACAGGCAGAACGAAGACAGAGCGAAGGAAAGCGAACACATAGTGAAAACGAGAAGCACTCTTCGGCTCGAGCCCCGCACAGCCCCAGAGGGAGAGGGGGGGGGGGGAAGGGGCAAGCTAGGTGCGCTCGTGTCATAGTTTACGTCCTACCCTCACTCCCATCCCTTAACATGGCGTATATCTCTACTCGCACAGTCGGATGTCGAGCAGGGCAATGATCCCGGGAGGGTGCACGACGCATCTTCGAGCATGGCATAGCAGGGCGTAGAAGAGCACGGCAGAGCGTAGTATGTCATAGCATGGCGTGGCGTTGCGTAGTGAAGGATTGCATCACAAAGCATTGCAACACAAAGAACGGCATCGCACAGCAGCACAGAACAGAACATGGCAAAGCATGGCGCTGAAGATCAAAGCGTAGAACGGCATAGAATGGCGTGGCACTGTGTAGTCAAGCATTGCATATCCTAGCATTGCCGCTGAAGGTATGGCATCGCACAGCGGAACACCACATTGCATTGCATTGCACGCCGTGGCATGGCACCGGACATGATGACGCCAGCGCTGCAGCGGGAACACGATTCGGAAAGAGCGGCAGCGCGGAAATGAGGCCAGCGCTGCAGCGGGAGCACGATTCGGAAAGAGCGGAAGCGCGGAAATGAGGCCAGCGTTGCAGCGGGAGCAGGACTCGGAACGAGCAGAAGCCCGAAATTCAAGCCAGCATATTACCGGGAGTAACATTTTGAAAAAAAACCAGCGAAAACCCAATTCCCGTGAATCCTGTGTGTAAGAAAACGTACGTGGGGGGGATACCGAATATCTTCCCGACGTCATCATGGGAGAGAGGAGAGTAGTACATATTCCTTTTGTGTAGTTGTAGAGAGGAGGGAAGGACGGTAGGGGGAAGCAATTAGTGGACGCTCCCCCGATCCTCCAAACTCGAAGTTGGCACGCATGGGGGGGGGGGGGGGCTGCGGTCGAAGTGCAACTCATCTGACCCATTAACCGATGAACGTGACATGCAGGTTCGCTACTTTTTTTCGGAAGCCTGGAGGATGGGGGAGCTCCCCCGCACTCTTCGGGGACTGCCAAAGTCTTGGCGAAAATGGCACTGCGCCGAGCGGAAGCCTGCGCCCGACCTTCCACGGCAACTCCAGATGGTGTCACCCCACCCCGGAAGCAGAGAGTCCTTCAGGGCGTAATCCTCCTCTTCCTCTTCCTCCTCCTCCTCCTCCTCCTCTCCTGTCCTCTCCTCTCATCTCATCTCCTCTCCTCTCTTCTCCTCTCTCCTCTTCTCTCTCCTTTCCTCTCTCCTCTCCCTCCCTTTCCTCTCCTCTCCTCTCCTCTCCCCTTCTCTTCCTCCTCCTCTCCTCTCCTCTACCATCCTCTTCCTCCTCTCCTCTCTTCTCCTCTCCTCGTCCTCTCCTCTTCTCTTCCTCCTCCTTTCCTTCCTCCTCTCCTCTCCTTCTCCTCTCGGCTCCTCCTTTCTCCTAGCTTCTCCACTCCTCTCCTTTCCTCTAGTCTCCTCTCCCTCTCATGTCCTCTCCTCTCCTCTCCTCTCCCTTCCTCTCCTCTCCTCCTCTCCTCCTCTCCTTTCCTCTCCTCTCCTCTCCTCTCCTCTCCTCTCCTCTCATCTCCTCCTCCTCCCCTGTCCTCTCCTCTCCTCCCCACCCCCTTCTCCCCTCTTCTCTCCTCTCCTCTCCTCTTCCCCCTTCTCTCCTCTCCTGTCCTCTCCTCTCCTCTCCTCTCCTTCTCCTATCCTCCCCTCCCCTCTCCTCGCCCAACTAGCCGCGCACACATCCGTATCCGCGCAGTCGCGGTCTGCACTCCATGTCGCGATCCCGCGGATACGCGGTCTTACGGATGCGTTCCGCGCGGGGCATCCGCAAAAACATCGCCCCGCATCTGCGGGGTCGCGGCCCATGGACCCGGCCCGCGAGGCCGCGGATGCGGACATGTTTCTCGCCTATGGGCCAGCCTGCAGGTTTGGAGTTTCTCGCGCACGCAGGTGCTGGTGACAGGATAAGCTAGGAGACGTGCGTTGGCCTGCGCCGCTGGCATTGGGTGGCAGCCACTGCTCTGAGCTCGGAGTGACGAAGGGGAATTCGGGAGGGGCAGGAACTGTAATAGCCTAGTGCGTGGGACTACTAGCCATTCCTTGCACTGCCAGTGCAAGAGAAACTGAAAGTCTTAGAATTATCCCCCCCGAAACCAATACCCCCCCCCCTTAAAATGGCAGCTGAGCCTGCCTGGCACCGTGCACGCTAGCGGGGAGGGCGAGAGAAAACATGATAAAGTACGGGAGGCGAGTTGAGCTAGACCTTATGTGGATATTGGAGAAGATAGAATCCCGCGGGCGCCTCAAGTATGTGTGCAAGTGGGTTTCGCGGAGCTGTGGTTTCTACCTTTTGTCTGGAGGATCTGGGAGTGGATTTTCCACTTCTCCTCTGGCCCTTGCAAAATGAGTTGTCTAATCTCGATGATGTCCTATTCAAACCAGCCTACGTTCCTACGCCTGTTTGGCGCAAACACTGATTACAAAGAGTTCCCCGCAAGGATGAAACTGCGTATTCTACCGCTGGCTTTGCTGCCCATGCCTGGCGCTAGGCTTGGGAAAGAATGACAGGGGGCTTCCCCCACCCAACAAGTGTGACACTGCCCCGCGCCCTGGCGGCGGGGGGGGCACCGTGACAGCAGGACCCCCCGCCAGGTGTCACGTTCCGCGTGCGGCAGGGGATCTTGTACTTAATGGTGGGGAGCTACAACTTCCCACAAAAGAGCTGGAGGGATTCGACCACTCCCTTGAATGACCCCAAGCGGGCTTTACCGCAGAAAAGGCCATCGCCATTGAATTGTGCGCTCAAGCTGTTTGAAGACACAACGCTCTTGTAGCAGATTCCTTTGTGCGTTGGATAAGGGTGCAGATTCTTTCCGCCTGTAGTGCATTTGCAACTGGTGCTGGGGTCACGCGAGAAGAACCACCACCACCTACAAGTTGGCGTCCTGCACTGGCTGCATCACGGCCTAACTGGCCAACATTGTTCTTCTGGACCTCCTCGCTCGATTTTATGTGCTGGATCTCCTCCCTGACATCGGTGAGCTGCTTGTTCAAGGGCTAACTCGTGCCGTCTTGGCGGCGTTGTTCGATCTCCTCTGGCGACTTCAGCTTGATTGGGGAAAATGTATGCTTGTGTGTCGTGAGTCGATTTCTTTTGTTTCTTCAAGGCTGGTTCCTGTATCGAGTCCGCGGCGAAATCTGATGACGCGTTTGACGTGTTCACTAGAGTATTTCCGTCGCGCTTCCTCGATGCCGACAGCTCTTGTTACGATACGTTTTGTCTCGCCTCCTTGGCTTTGACCGCCTCCTTGAGCGGTCATTCTCTTTTCGCCACTCCGATGTCGACCACTCCTTTGAACGGTCGGTCTCGTAGTGCCTCTTCGATGCTGACTGCTTCCTAGAGCTGTTATCCTCGTGTTTGGACTTCTCATAATGCTTCGTCTGCTCATTGGACGTAAAAGGATGTATCCCTTCCTGGCTTCACTGGCGATTTGCTGACTTCCTTCTGCTCCGAGGTGTCGGAAGCTTTGGTTAGGGAAGTTCAGCCCGATGTGGTTGAACAGTATTGTGCCATGGCACGCGGCACTCACGAGTAGGGTTTGTGCGAATTCGATAGACCTAAGTCCATCAACCATTCCGAAGTGGGTATACTTCGTAAGTTTCCTGCTATCGAGACTGGCTACGCGACAGTGTGTTGACATGGGATGCTACACACGGAGACTGAACCCAAGGTATGTCGTGTGACATGGCGTCGGGCGTTGTAGGTATCGTATCGGACATGACCTCCTGCTCCTCCTCCTCCTCCTCCTCCTCTTCCTCCTCCTCCTCCTCCTCCTCCTCCTCCTCCTCCTCCCCCTCCTCCCTCCTCTCTCCTCCTCCTCCAGCTTCTGTGGAGCAGGCAAGGCCGCTCCTGCCGAGCTGTCTTGAGAGATGTCTTGCTCGGGCCAGGGTGATTTGAGCCAAATCGGCTGCGGGGGGAGGGAGGAGCGGGGGGGGAAGGGGAACCGCATGGTGGAGGGGAGAGTGGGCGGCAACCTGGGCACTTTCGCGCCACATCTGAGATCCTTCGCCTCCCTCCCGTTCCTTCCCATTGCGCTGCGTTTTTCTACATCCGCCGACGGGTGTCATGTCATGCGCAATCGCAGGAGGGGAACTGCGTACATCGGAGGAGGAGGATGAGGAAGAGGTTGCGGATGAGCAGGAGGATGAGCAGGAGAAAGAAGAGGAGTATGAATGAGGACGAGGAGGATCAGAAGCAGCAGCAGCAGCAGGAGCAGGATTGGTAAAAACGGGGGGAGCAGGATGACCGGGGGAGGGCCAGGGAGGATAAAGGAGGGGGGCGACAACGATGAGGAAGCATTCGGATCCACAAACGTGGCCCGCGATTTAGCGAGAGCGCCATCCTGTACGATTGGAGCAAAGCGCCGATCTTGAAACGAGGCCAGCGCTGCAGCGTGAACACGATTTGGAGACACCGGAGACGCTCCGATGCAAACGATCACGTAGAACAGATCCTGTGTGTGAGACAAACACTACGCAGAGGGGGCCGGCCCACTCCCCTGCCATCTTCGGGGTCGACAGGAGAGTCGTATTCAGAATGAGTAGTTGTAGAAGGGGAGTCGTGTGGGAAGGAAGTCCATGCGGTTGCCAGTCTAGGACAACGTCGCAGGGATTCTGGAGTCGCATGACATGGCTGAATCAACGAGGACCTGATGTCACTTGACATCCCCACCCCGCATCATCTCTCAACATGTCACGTGGTCTGGTCTCGCTTAAGTTGGCATGGCCTAACCTCTCTCGGCCCCAACTCCACCTCACCCTGGGCCACCACACATCGCGTCCGTTTTCCGTCACCACCTCCACCTCGACTCCGCCTCCGCTTCATCCACCTCCACCGCCTTGGCTTCTCATTGTCTCCGCCGCCATGCACATCGTGCCACCTCAACGGGACCCTCGCTTCCACCATCAGAACTCCCTTCAATGAAATACAGCTCCAGCTGGCGGCCCTCGAGAGAAGCACCATGTTGCGTTCACAGCAGATGCCCGTGTCCGAGGAGCAAGCCGGGCAGGAGGCCAGCTACCTTTCTGCCAGTTGAGTGGAGAAGGAGGAGGAGGAGGAGAAGGTGGAGGAAGGGCGGTAGCAGAAAAGGATGCGTCATGTTTAGCAGCGCAGTCAGCGTGCCATAAAATGGGTCTGCAGAGGGAGAAAGAGAGAGAGAGAGAGGGAGAGGACAATGTGATGGGGAAGGTGCAAAGGGGAATCCCCATTCCAGAGCAAGGGCTTTCTTAACCGTGAGTTAACTTCAACACCGTAGTGTCAACACCGTAGTGTCAACAGCGTAGTGTCAACAGGCACTGCACTCTTGGCACTACGCTGCTGGCACCGCACTCTTGACACCACGCTGCTAGGCACTGCACTCTTGACACTACGCTGCTGGCACTGCACTCTTAACACTATGCGAAGACACTACGCAAAACCACTACGCATATGTTTTTCACCGTTGGGATGAACTCTCAGAATTGTTGAACATCGCCGAACTCACGCTGCGCTGTAAGTCATCACGGTGTTCTCCTGTGACCGTGCGTTGTCGACACTGTGCTGTTGACACTACGCTGTTGACGCTGCGCTTCTGACACTGCGCTGCTGACACTGCGCTGCTGACACTGCGCTGCTCGTCGCGCCCAGAACTTTCCAGAACGAGTTTGTTGAAAATCGCCGAACTCACGCTGCGTTGTTGGTCATCACGGTGTTCTCCTGTGACCGTGCGCTGTCGGCACTGCGTTGTTGACACTGCGCTGCTGACACTGCGCTGCTGACACTGCGCCTCTGCCCGTCGCGCCCAGAAGTTTCCAGAACGAGCTTAGTGGACACCACGCAGGAAACACGATGCAGGAAGCACTACGCAGAAACCACCACACAGGACACATTACGCAGGAAACGCAACGTAAAACAAACACTGCGTAAGCAAGCGTAATGAAAGCATTGCGTACAAAAGCGCATTGCGCATAGTCATTTTCCGTACGAAACCAACACGCTAGGCAGGAAACACTACGCAGGCAACGCCACGCAATAAACACTACGCAGGGACCACTGCGGAGAAAACGCTACGCAGGAAACACTACGCAAAGACCACTTCGCAGTAAACAGTACGCAGGGATCATTACGCAGAAAACACTGTGCAGAAAACGCTGCGCAGTAAACACTGCGTAGGACACGCTGCGTAGGAAGCACTGCCTATGAGACGCTGCGTAGGAAACGTTGCGTAGGAAGCACTGCGTAGGAAGCACTGCGTAGGAAACACTGCGTAGGCAATATTGCGCAGGAAACACTGCGTAGGAAACACTGCGTGGAAAACATTGCCTCGGAAACGCTGCGTAGGAAACACTGCGTAGCCAACGTTGCGTAGGAAACACTGCGCACGAAACACAGCCCAGGAAACACGGCGTGGGACACACTGCGCGCAGGAATAATTGCGTAGGACATGCTACAGGGGAGCACTACGTAGGAAACACTGGCCGTAGGAAACGCTACGCAGGAAACACTACGCAGGAAATACTACGCAGACTACGTTAACAAAAACACTGCGCAAAAAAGCATCACGTAAGCCATACTACGTGGAACAACAAACACTACGTAAAACGCACTGCGTAACAAAACCTGCGTACAACAAACCGTAACATATCCTGCGTAAAAAACACTGTAAAACACACATTGCGCACTCACACGCACACTATAACACACATTGCGCACGAAACACTACGCGGGAAATAATACACGGGAAACACTGCGCAGCAAAACACTATGCAGGACACCGCGCGTAAAAACATTGCGTGGGACAAAAAACGCCGCGTACAATGCATTGTAAAAACAATGCGTAACAAATCCACAGCATACAAAAACAATACCGCGTAAAAAGAACACCGCGTACACAGAAAAAGCACTACGCCGGACTACGCCGGAACCATTGCGCAGGAAACGCTACGCAGGAAACATTACGTAAAACACAGCGTACAACAAACACCGCGTAACAAAAACATTGCGTAACAAAAACGCTGCGTACCAAAACATTGCGTACAAACAATCCCTACGCAGGCAACACTACGCAGTAAGCACTACGCAGGAAGCACTGCGCAGGGAACATTACGCAGGAATCACTACGCAGAAAACGCTAAGCAGGAAATACTACGCAGAAACTTCTACGAGGGAAACATTACGCAGGAAGCACTACGCAGAAAACACTACGCAGAGAACACTGCGCAGGAACACTGCGTAGGATGCACTGCGTAGGAAACACTGCGTAGGAAACAACGCGTTTCATACGCCCCTGCGCTGTCGACACTTCGCTGTTGACGCTACGCTGCTGACACTACGCTGCTGCCACTGCGCTGTTGACACTGCGGTGCTGCCCGTCGGGCCCAGAACTGCCCAGAATGAGTTTGTTGAAAATCGCCGAACTCGTGCGTTGTTGACACTGCGCTGCTGACGCTACGCTGCTGACACTGCGCTGCGGACACTACGCTGTTGACATTACGCTGTTGACACTGCGCGGTTTACACTACGCGGTTTACACTACGTTGCTGACACTACGCTGTTGACACTACGCTGTTGACACTACGCTGTTGACACTACGCTGTTGACACTACGCGCTTGACACTACGCTGTTGACACTACGCTGTTGACACTACGCTGTTGACACTGCACTGTTAACGCTACGCCCTTGACATTACGCTGTTCACACTACGCTGTTGGCACTACGCTGTTGACTTAACTCACGTTGAACCCGCACTTTCCCAGAGCAGAGTGTGTTGTGCAAGGCGTGCCACACCGTTGCACTGGTTTGGCAAGGCGCTTGTCACGATCGTGTCATCATAAATCTTGCGGACATGCCGTCGACTTTCGGTGGTTCGCCATCCGTGCATTATATCCTGTGACTGGATTCCTGTCGCGAAGGCCTGCCTCATGGTGGAAAGGTTTGGAAGTTGCTTGCGTCCATGGACGCAAACTGCTCGAATAGCGTCGTTTGCGTCGAAGACGGCAGCGGACGCTGGGACTGGATGACCACCATGTCGTTGGCATGGGGCGGCTGCTTGGCGGCCCATGTGGATCTGGCCAGGGCGGCCCCAGGTGCGCACACCGCACCAGACGTCACACGCCATGGTGGGGAGCGGGCTGCCGACGGCGTGCGCTGGACCAAGGAGGGGAGGTGATTCGCGACACGTGAGCCAGGGCGTTCTACTAGGTGGCGTACGTTGGACCGGAGGAGCAACTGGTGCAAACGGCCTTGACGGCCAGACCAAGGCTGGTCTTGGCAATGTTGGAGCCGAGGGCCGCGCTGGATGCCCTTCGCCCTGGAGTGGCTCAGTTGCGCAGCCTCGGCAGCGCATGAGGCAGGGAGTCAGAGGAGGAAAAGGTACCGATACCGCTACCATCGTCTTGTTTTCCCGTGCTTGGGCCTTCAGAAGGCCTTCGTCGCCACCGGTGGATTCGCCTCGAAATTTTAGTGAGAACTCGCCCCAGGAGAGGTCATGGGAGTAGTGGTATCGGTACCTTTTGGTTCCTCCAGGAGGTGGGGAGTGGTCGGGCGTCGCGGGGGCCTCTCGGGAGCGACGGAGTGGATTCCGACTCGGCGGCGCGGGCTGCGGCGGAGGGATGGCCGGGTGTTCTGCCACCAGGAAAACAGGAGGAGGAGGAGGAGCATGATCAGCAGTAGTAGTAGTAGTAGTAGTAGTAGTCGTAGTCGTAGTCGTAGTCGTAGTCGTAGTCGTAGTCGTAGTCGTAGTCGTAGTCGTAGTAGTAGTAGTAGTAGTAGTAGTAGTAGTAGTAGTAGTAGTAGTAGTAGTAGTAGTAGTAGTAGTAGTAGCAGTCGTAGTCGTAGTCGTAGTCGTAGTCGTAAGTCGTCGTAGTCGTAGTCGTAGTCGTAGTCATTTTCGTAGTCGTAGTCGTAGCCGTAGTAATAGTAGTAGTAGTCGTAGTCGTCGTCGTAGTATTTGCTGTAGTTGTATTTGTAGTCCTAGAAGTAGAAGAAGTAGTAGTAGTAGTAGTAGTAGCAGCAGTAGTAGTAGTAGTAGTAGTAGTAGCAGTAGTAGATAGTAGTAGTAGTAGTAAAATAGTAGTCGTAGCCGTAGTAGTAGTAATAACCGTAGTAGTAGTAGTAGCAGTAGTAGTTGTAGTAGTATTGGTAGTCATTATCAAACTCGTAAAAGTAATATTGTAGTAATGGTAGTCGTAGTAGTAGTAGTAGTAGTAGTAGTAGTAGTAGTAGTAGTATAGTAGTAGTAGTAGTAGTAGTAGTAGTAGTAAGTAGTAGAAGTAGGTCGTAGTCAAGAGTAGTTGTAATAGTTTTTGCAGTAGTAGTTCGCAGTCGTAGTAGTAGTAGTAGTAAGTTGTAGTAATAGTAGTAATAGTAGTAGTAGTAGAAGTTAGTATACTAGAAGTAGTAGTAGTAGGTAGTAGGAGTAGTCGCAGTAGTAGTCGTAGTAGTAGTAGTAGTAGTAGTAGTAGTAGTAGTCAACGTAGTCGCAGTAGTAGTAGCAGTAGTAGTAGTAGTAGTCGTAAGATTCGTATTAGTCGTAGTAGTAGTAGTAGTAGTAGTAGTAGCAGTAGTAGTAGTAGTAGTAGTAGTAGCGTTAGTCGTAATAGTAGCAGTCGTAGTAGTAGTAATAGTAGAGGTCGTCGTAGTAGTAATCGAGTAGTAGTATTGCTATTGGTAGTAGGACTCGTAGTAGTAGTCGTAGTCGTAGTAGTATACGTAGTAGTAGTCGCAGTCGTATTCGTAGTCGTAGGAGGAGTAGTAGGTGTTGTTGTAGTTGTAGTTGTAGTACTAGAAGAAGTAGTAGCAGTAGCAGTCGCAATAGTAGAAGTAGCGTTAGTAGTAAAAGTAGTAATAGTAGGAGTAGTAGTACCAGTCGCAATCGTCGTTATAGTAGTAGTAGTTGTTGCTTTCGTCGCCATAGTAGTTGTAGTAGTAGTAGCAGTATTATTTGTAGTAGTAGTGGTAGACATCGTGGTAGTAGTCGTTGTCGTCTTAGTAGGAGGTGTCGTAGTAGAAGTAGCATTAGTTGTAGGACCAGT